CAAAACGAAAGATAGGAAAAAATTATTCGACGTTTTCAAACCATTCCTTGGCATGCAACCACAAGTTTCCGAATCTAAACGATACGGAAATTCTGCACTATGCAAGGAAGGGTTGCAAACTCAATTATTTAGAATCCTTGGAAATTCACAAGCATAAACATTGCGGGTGCAACCTGTTAAATGACCAAATCGATTTAATTTACTCTCCGGTTTTTAAATTGGCACATGCGCATTGTGAACTGTAAATTCAGGTACTCAATCAAGTACCTGAATGGTATATATTAGCGAATGTAATGAATCATTCATAGTTTATTTTTTAAGTTTGAAAATGTCCATATAGGACGAAACTGCAGTAACGTTAGTTACAAATAAAAGTGGTAAAAAAACATAGAAATTTTCATTTCTCTTTTCATCATGATATCCTACCACATAGTAACGTCTACATCCATCAATTTATTTAAATCTATTCCAGATTCTAATAGAGTGGCTTTAGACACATGCCTGGCCTGCCTAAGCTTTTCAACTCTTTCAAGAAAAGAACTCAGAAAAGGACCTTTCCTATCACCTGAAAACTCGATATCCCACTTTATTGGCAATATTGGCTTAACTTGACTTGAGGTACTAGGGAACCCAATCGGATTAGGCAGTGGAGGACTCGAAGATCTCCGGGAGGGATTGAATGCCAAGCTTTGTTCCATGAAACTAAGTTGAGGTGGAACTTCTGAACTTCCTTCATCTTGTACTTTCTGATGAAGGTTATCCATAACTGCAAGTGCTTCATTGCGCAGATGTGGACGCTTTTGTGACTTTTCTTCATACATGTGATCGATGCGATTCCGCACATGCGCAAGCTTTGGCTGCAACTTGTTGAATTGATTCCCCGACGGATCGTGCATGTAGTCATCTACCAATAGAACTATAGCTACTAATTTACCTTCTACGGCTTTTTCATCCTCTTCGACCGTGAACGGATATGCAGGGTACTTTACAGAATCTCCAGACTGTTCGAGACGAACATACTCAAGTTCATCCTGGGCTAACCTTGTAATTTGAATTCTATATGCCATCTTGATGAAGGCAGAAATATGAATAGTTCAAAAAAATTATTTTATATTTTTTTTTATNTCTGTCGGTTCACAAAACAAACAAGAAAAACAATGACAATTAATTTCTAAAAACGAAAGACTGCAATTTCACCACAGCTAAACCACAGAAACAAGCTGAGGTGGAGGGTCAGGTAAATCTGCCCTACAGTAATCTCTTTATTGAAACAGAAATGTTACATAAATCTCAACAAATACATATATACAAAGGTTAACTTACCCTGGCTAAGTGGTTTTATCACTTCCGTGAACTGTAGAAAATTGCCATGTATCACACAAGATGGTAACAGCTTTACAGCATCGTGTACACGTTGTACTCTGTCGTCGTACAAAAAAAATACCACTTAAAACCCTCTTACGAGATCAGTTCTGAATTGTATTCAAAATAACAAACCCATCAAATACACTATGCAGCCTACAGAACTCTTTAATGGTGAAGTTCGAGATTATCCCAACTGAGAATGATTGGAAAATCATTAAACAACTCGAATTCAAACAGTGCTTATTTTCACAAGAACACGTTCCAACGAAAGTGAACACCTTTCAGCCTGATCAAAAATGACAAATCCCTACCTATCACTTCTACACATAGATGGCTCACGCATGTTCTAAATAATATTTCCAAGACAAATTTAAACATCCGACCATTACATATATTAGTGTCACAAATTTCTAAATACTCGTTACTAAGATTTATGCACAAATATGTAATCTACTATATAATAAGTTTTCTTTAAGTTACGGCTACTCATGAAACTACAGACTCTCGTAACCTATGAAATCCAACAATTAGATTTCGAAGAAGCTAGCTAGATGTCCGACTTGAATCAGCTGATCGGAACAATGTTTACGTTCAGTGATTTTCGATTAAGGAAAACAAATAAACAAAACGCTTATGACTCTTATTCTGCAACTACTGAAAGAAGGTGAGTACTGCTTCATCATTCATGTATGTGGTCGTTACTAGTGAATTGTTCGATTCACCATAAAATCATAACAAATAGTTCCTATACCTAAACTAATAAAAACATTCTCTTTTCCAGCTCCAGTCAAACAACCAGAGGCGGATCCGTTAGAATGGGATATCCTTTTATTTTAAAATTATATGTACAAGTGTGCTGAATAAATGAGATTGATTTCACATACAGGGCGTGTAATTACTAATGTACTCTTAGAATGAAACTTGAACGTTACACTATTCCCGCTAATAGGTACGGCGGAGTACAAGAACGGCACTCTGATGTCTGCTATGGAAATATTGCCAAATAAATGTATGTAGTGAGAAAAAAAGACAAAATTCACCCTATTTTCAAACAAAAATTTAAGATATGAGAACACAGACTTTCACAGCCGGAGTCACGATTAAAGAGAACAAAATCCGAATGGAACTTGAACTACCAAATGTTTTGTCTACTACGCGACACACATCATCAGTTGTATATCATTGACCTCGACTGACTCGTTGCTGAGACTGCAAGATATAACCTTCATCTTCACAGACAATGCACACTTATAGCAAAGAGAGCTTCCCTCACGATTATTTTGAAATAAGCATATAATCATAATTTACTAACAAACATACATATCTATGTTTACATTATATAAACTTATACATTTTGGACATATATTTTACTAGACAAACCTCTGCAGTTCGTGATTTGAAAAATTACACAGGATGGTCTTTCAATCCTATTAATTGATAATTTTGTACATATTAATCGTGTTATTGGACTATTTAGATCTGTTTGATCATAAAATAAATAAATAAATTCAGTCACCTACATCAGAAATATATGAAAAATTCATCGAGATAGAGTATGATTTCAACTTCCAATCCCCGACTGTTCAAGACCTCAATTTTATATTCTCCAATTTCCTCAAACTCAAATCAGGGTGTTTTGTTGAATCAATAAAAATTCTGCCGAAATGTAGAAATGTATTGAATATTTAGAATGTTGAATATCCAGAAAACTAATGGATATTACTCCACAACTCAATAACTTTTGAATATTTTCAGGAAAATGTGTCCCAAAATTAGGATATATTTAATTTCCATTAAATAGTTATAATTAAAACCAAAAGATGTGAAAGGAAAAATATTTAATTTATTGATTAAAATTAAAAAGGTGTTGTTCTAGAAGAACTATATAAACGTGAATCTAATTGTTCAGTATAGTTTAAATTGCATGACAAATCAGTATAAATAATTGGATAATACTGTATTCTTCCACTAGACCATCCAATAGTCAAACAAGCTCCAGCTTCAAATTGTTGAAGAAAACTTATTGTACTTGGTTGTTCTTCTGCCATTCCTATTACCAGAGAACTGAAAAATAAATGATTAAACAAGTAGCAGTCACTCTGTTCACTTCAATTGAGTTATTACTGGAGTTTTATCCCAACACCAAACCGTTATTTTCAACTCCTCGACACGTGTTTCGATCACCAAGTGATCATCTTCAAGAGGAAGAATAAACTGTGCATCGCAAGTTCAATCGATTGAAGTAAATGCCAACTACTACTTACCTAGCTATCAACTGCAATGTTGGATGTCTGATAATATTGAAAACAGCTACCAAGTTTGTATCTTGAAATAGGACAGCCAGGTGCTTTCCTTTGGGATCACTTTCCAGACATTGAACCAAACCACCAACAATCACGCCATCTATCTCAATTTTACTAGTTTCGAACAAAGGCAAAGCTTGGTTAGACGAACTGTCTGAATCATTCTTGAAAACCAAATCATTTTTGATCATTACTCCATATATTATAGGTTCAGTATTGCTGGCGAATAGTAAAGTATTTCCACAATTTGACCAACAAGCTGACTGAACCCTTCCACTAAGTACTGTCCATCGCTCACATTCCCAATTTCGGCAATCCCATACCCTAAAAATATTTTGTTGGTGTATAAACAGAAATGCATGTCAGTTGGTTATAATTATTTTTATCTATACATTTTTAATGCACATATACTTTAAACAAAGCAATTTTATTAGCCTTGATAAACTAGTATTAATCTAATAATAATCATAGATCTACAAAATATAAATCAGAAATTTCATGAAATACCAGATTT